ATTTATTTATTTTATAATATAAAATAAATAATTAAATAATGAAGTACAGTACTGTAGTGAGTATATGAAAAATAAATAAAATATTTAAAACTTTAATTCGTTTTAACAAAAAACTAAATAGCATTTATTAATTTAATGTTTAATATTTTTTAACTACATTTTAAAGCATAAATTAAACAGTTTCTATTAATTTTGCCCATTCGAAAAATGGACAAATAAGCTAATTCTTATGTGCCCCTTGAGATAAAACATAAAAGAGCATCAGCAATCCTTGCACCCCTCGTGCAACCGTCCACTGGGAATGAATGAGCGACAGTAACAGTGATGCAAACCTCACTAATGACGTCTCAGTGCACGATCAATGTACCTTCAGATAGTAAACCAGCAGCTCATTGAGAGCCGGATCAGCGTTCAGGTTGACCAGGAAGCACTTGTCCTCTCCGACCTTGATCCCTGACGACTCCAGAGAGATTCCCATGCTCTCCAGCTGCTTCTGACGGTCCTGCAGAGACCAAGCACAGTGAGTGTGTGTGACACCTGTGCGATCTCCTCAGTTTTCCGGAGTTTCTCCTCCCAGGTTACCGTCATCTCCTGAATGAGTTTCTCAGACTCCTGGAGTTTCTCCTGCAGCTCAGGAGCCTTCAGAGACTGACCGACACAACATAACAAACGTTATCATTAACAGCTCCTCATTTTAGTATCAGTGATATACTATTGTAGTTTTTAATAATATTTTGAATTAGTTTATTTTTATATTTTACATATTCATTTTAATTTTAGTTAAAATATTAGTTTAGTTAAAGTATTTATACAATAAATAATGCAGCTAACAGTACAGTACTGTAGTGAGTAGAAAAAACATATATATATATATATATATATATATATAAAAAATAATTATTTTCCAAATAATATTTTACATATTTATAATATTAATTTTTCACAATATAAACAGGGTCTTCATACATTAAAGTATATAGGTGCCTTTTAAATGTTAGGATGGGGGTCCCTCGCAGGAGTATGATCCTATTTGGGGGTCCATGGCAATGAAAAGACTTTTTCACCCTGTATTAGAGCGTAGCTGTAGCCTTCAGTTCAGATATTCTCCCATAATTCCCTGCTCACCTCAGCCTGCGAGAGCTGCACCTTCAGCTTCTCCACTTCCTCCCGCAGCTCTCTGATGATGCGGGCGTTGGGATCCTCGTTCACCACGGCGTGGTTGACGATTCTCTTGGCTCGGTCGGCGTAGCGTAGCGTCGAGAGTGTCTCCTCGTAGTTGTCAGCGGCTGGGCTGATGGTGGCGATCATGGCCGTCTTACTGTTGCCACCCAGATTATCCTGTAGAAGCAAAGGAAAAGAGTTTGATTTCGAGTTCAATTCACCTGCACATTTAAACAGTGTTCGATGAGCTCTGATGAACATCCTCACCTTCAGCAGCCACGTCAGCACTGAGTCTCTGTACGGCACAAACTTGCTCTTGCCTTTTCCTGCAGACTGATCAGCGAGTGCAGAAATAACACAGCCCAGCGTTGTCAGAGACCTGGAGACATACAAAAAACACCACCATCAGAAAACACCACAGAAACAACAGAAAACACCACAGAGACATCAGAAAATACCACAGAGACATCAGAAAATACCACAAAAACAACATAAAACACCACAGAGACATCAAAAAACACCACAAAAACAACATAAAACACCACAGAGACATCAGAAAACACCACAAAAACAACATAAAACACCACAGAAACAACAGAAATCACCACAGAGACATCGGAAAACACCACAGAAACATCAGAAAACACCACAGAAACAACATAAAACACCACAGAGACAACATAAAACACCACAGAGACAACATAAAACACCACAGAGACAACATAAAACACCACAGAGACAACATAAAACACCACAGAGACAACATAAAACACCACAGAGACAACATAAAACACCACAGAGACAACATAAAACACCACAGAGACAACATAAAACACCACAGAGACAACATAAAACACCACAGAGACAACATAAAACACCACAGAGACAACATAAAACACCACAGAGACAACATAAAACACCACAGAGACAACATAAAACACCACAGAGACAACATAAAACACCACAGAGACAACATAAAACACCACAGAGACAACATAAAACACCACAGAGACAACATAAAACACCACAGAGACAACATAAAACACCACAGAGACAACATAAAACACCACAGAGACAACATAAAACACCACAGAGACAACATAAAACACCACAGAGACAACATAAAACACCACAGAGACAACATAAAACACCACAGAGACAACATAAAACACCACAGAGACAACATAAAACACCACAGAGACAACATAAAACACCACAGAGACAACATAAAACACCACAGAGACAACATAAAACACCACAGAGACAACATAAAACACCACAGAGACAACATAAAACACCACAGAGACAACATAAAACACCACAGAGACAACATAAAACACCACAGAGACAACATAAAACACCACAGAGACAACATAAAACACCACAGAGACAACATAAAACACCACAGAGACAACATAAAACACCACAGAGACAACATAAAACACCACAGAGACAACATAAAACACCACAGAGACAACATAAAACACCACAGAGACAACATAAAACACCACAGAGACAACATAAAACACCACAGAGACAACATAAAACACCACAGAGACAACATAAAACACCACAGAGACAACATAAAACACCACAGAGACAACATAAAACACCACAGAGACAACATAAAACACCACAGAGACAACATAAAACACCACAGAGACAACATAAAACACCACAGAGACAACATAAAACACCACAGAGACAACATAAAACACCACAGAGACAACATAAAACACCACAGAGACAACATAAAACACCACAGAGACAACATAAAACACCACAGAGACAACATAAAACACCACAGAGACAACATAAAACACCACAGAGACAACATAAAACACCACAGAGACAACATAAAACACCACAGAGACAACATAAAACACCACAGAGACAACATAAAACACCACAGAGACAACATAAAACACCACAGAGACAACATAAAACACCACAGAGACAACATAAAACACCACAGAGACAACATAAAACACCACAGAGACAACATAAAACACCACAGAGACAACATAAAACACCACAGAGACAACATAAAACACCACAGAGACAACATAAAACACCACAGAGACAACATAAAACACCACAGAGACAACATAAAACACCACAGAGACAACATAAAACACCACAGAGACATCAGAAGATACCACAAAAACATCAGAAAACACCACAGAAACAACATAACAACATTTTTAATTTTTATGATTTAATTAATCATTAGTTTGAGAGGAGCCATTATTTTACATGATGCAGTTCATTCATATAGCATCTATTACAGTCTGCAGATTTCCTCTACTCAAGTAGGTTTGTAAAGAGCCCTATATTCTTTTATTCATACTCTTTTCTGCTCCGAGTGCCAGCTTTTATCCTCTTTAGACTAATTTCCCAGATTGCATACAATGACTGCCAACATATTGTTTGTTTTTCGATCATTATAAGCAAGTCTGAATATGGTGATCGGCTGCGGTCGTCTTACTTGTTGATGTTGCTGCCCTCCTTCAGTCTCTCTCCAGCAGCTCCAGTCTTAGATACGCGTTCACTGCCGGCCAGATCAACCAGACTGATCTTACTCACTTTCTCACCAGAATTCTGTGTTCACAATCACACACACAAACACAGACATAAAAGAAAATATTGCAATCAACAACATAATGAATCTGCACAAAACGTGTGTCTGAGATCATTACCAGGGTCCAAAATTAACACTCTACAACCATATTCTGCAAATAAAAAAAGTTATTCAACTGTTTAAATCATATTTAAGAATAATGATGTGATGTAAGTGACGTGAGTAACTGAAATAAATCTTACTACTAAAGAAATTACGATTTCTACTATGACTTTTACTAATGAAGTTAGTATGAATAAAGTTATTCTTGATGTTTTTGTGACAGATGAGAGATGATCATGTGAAAGACTCAATGACTTGTGCTGTAAAAGTGCAATATATACATATATATAAATGCAATAACAATGTAAAGATCAAAGGAATGTAAAAATTAATTTACTTACACTGCAAAAATGCTTACAATGCTTTTCTTACTTAAGATTGTTTTTGTCTTGTTTCCAGCCAAGATATCTAAAAATTCTTAAATCAAGAAGGATTTTCTAGACAAGTAAAAATTATTGTCTTGTTTTCAGAAAAAATTATTCAAAATTAGGTGAGTTTTTGCTTAGAACAAGCAAAATAATCTGCCAATGGGGTAAGAAAAATAATCTTATTTCAAACAGAAAACAAGATTATTTTGCTTGTTTCAAGCAAAAACTCACTTAATTTTGACTTTTTTTTCTGAAAACAAGACAATAATTTTCGAAGTAATTAATCTAAGTAAGAAAAGCATTTTTTGCAGAGTAAACGGGCAAAAAATATTTAAAAAAATAGAATTGAAAATGGAAATTTAAAATTAATAAAATTATAACAAATCAAAAATATTTAAAACATTTTTAATTGAACAAAATAAATAAATAAATGAAGACTTTAACCCAAATTAAAACATTTAAAAAATGTTTTAATTATATTTAATAATTTTATACAAATTTAAGTAAATAATTAAATACAAATTAAAATAAATAAATAAACAAATAAATCCAAAAAATAGGACATAAAATAATTTACTTAATTATAACTATAAATAAATTCCAAAAAATATTGATGGATTATTTTGTGATGGAAGAGAAATGTCTCAATGACTTATGCTGCATGTCACAAATTATTATTATTATTATTCCTTTATTTAGCCAGGAAATCACATTGAGATATTGTTATCTCTTCTTCCAGTGAGACCTGGATAAATAAACAAAGTTCAATAATTCTATTATCATTAGGGACTTTATTGTAATAACAAACAATGGAAGTTTCGTTGAGTTTAAATGTGGTGAACCCTGATAGTAGAGCAGCACTGACCCCAGACTGCAGGTCATACAGCGTCTGCGTGACGATGACGCTGAAGACGGCGTGCGATCGGCTGCTCTCCTCGTTCATGTTAGTGGCGGCTACTGTGCGTGATTTATTCCCCTCCGACATCAGAGACTCAATGTCCTGCAGGAGGCGCAGATTAGAGAGAACATGCAACTAAACTACATACAACAACTAACAAACTAATAGTTCACTGTAAGCGGAGACAGTGAGAGAAAATGAGCCAATCTGGACAGCAAACACATTTCTAATCAGAACATAGTTTGTATGTAAAAAAAACTTTTTTTTTTTTGCTGGTCGAATTACAAAGAACTTTACAGATATGACATATCTGTGACATATATATGACACACTGTCAGTCAAAAGCATTCTACGGAATTCTGGGAGAAACATCTGAAACAAAGTCGATACTTTAATGTAACATTTGAAACGGAGTTGAGAAGAGTCATGTTCACCTCGAAGTTCATCACAGCCAGCTGAGACAGACCGTCCACATACGGACCCAGGACTTTATGCTCTCTGACCTTCAGAGACTGTCTGCTCCTGTACGGACGGAGGAGAGAGAAGATGTGTGAGGAAACATCATCACAGATCAGAGGTTTCTCTAGGACGCTATTAATGTTCCCTGGACACTGATTCACAATCGTCCTTTTGTTTGGGCCTCAAGCAGAGCATTTGATTTGATTCGGCACCATCACATACAAACTGAACTTCATAAAATAAAATAAAAACTTTGATAAATGAAAAAAAAAAAAAACGAATTAAATGATAACTTGAGTGAATATAGCACAAAACAAGGTAAAGATTTAAAAAAAAGTTATAATGAATTATAATTATAATTAATAACTATTAATAAAGTAAATGAATATAGCACAAAACAAGGTAAACATAAAAAATGTAAACATGTAAAAAAGATAAAATAAAAAGTCAAGTATATAATTGTAACATTTTTTTAAATAATTCAATAATTTAAAAATTACATTTTAAAGGCATGAAAATAGGACAAGAAATAATTTACTATACAATTTACTATTAAAACTATTAATACATTTAAAAAATAGTAAAAAAACAAAAAAAAACAATTAAAGATTCAAAAATGTTAAAATTAAGTGATTCAAAAAAAGGCAAATATTAAATATAGAATGAACAATGTTAAGTATAAAATTGTGACAAATAGAAAAAAAAATTTTAAATAACAAAATTAACATTTAAAAGCCATAAAATAGAACATGAAATAATCTACTAATTAAATTATAAATAAAATACATTGTATATACATATATATACATATATAAAGAAACAGTTAAAAATTTAAATATTAATAAGAAAATTAAAAAATGCAATTGATTTTAAAAGGACAAAAATAGACTTGAAAATATAAAGTATAACATTTTAACAGATAAAAGAAACATTTAAAAATCAAAAACTAAATAAAAACATAAAACTAAATAACAAAATTAATATTTTAAAATCATAACAATAGAAAATTTAATAATTTAATAATTCTAGTTAAATTTGATTAATAAATTCAATTAATAATAATGATCAATTCTATTAATAAATTCAAAAATATAAAAATATAAATGGCACAAAAATAGAAAACCACTAAAAACTACATAAAGGCAAAAAAAAAAACCAATTAAAAATCAAATTAAAATTGTAAAATTAAAAAAATACAAATATATTTTAAAAAAAAGTGAAGATTTTTAATGCCATAAAAACAGGAAGTGACAGAATTGAAGTTGAATTGAAGTGAAAGCGCCACCCCGTGTGTGAAAGCATGTGACAACCAGAGAAAACAAGCAGGATCACAGTCAATCAGTGCATACAACCACTAAAAATCACCAAAACACCAGATTCAAACATAATTATATATATATATATATATAATAATATTAACCCTGTGAAGCCTGAGATATGAAATAATATTCAGATAAATCTAATGTTTTGAAATGGAACAGTTCAGTAAACCTTTAGACAAAGATATTAAAGAAAATCCTTATTAAATGCATCAGGCTTTAATGGTTCATACAGTCTGATACAGTGAGTATATTAAATAAAAACAGCTCAATTTTATTCAGAGACTCCAACTTAGCATAAATGTGAGCCTGCAGCACAAAAGCAGTCTTAAGTCGCTGGGGTATATTTGTAGCAATAGCCAACAATACATTGTATGGGTCAAAATTATACATTTTTCTTTTATGCCAAAAATCATTAGGATATTAAGTAAAGATCATGTTCCATGAAGATATTTTGTAAATTTCCTACCTTGAATATATCAAAACTTAATGTTTGATTAGTAATATGCATTGCTAAGAACTTCATTTGGACAACTTTAAAGATGATTTTCTCAATATTTAGATTTTTTTGCACCCTCAGATTCCAGATTTTCATATAGTTGTATCTCGGCCAAATATTGTCCGATCCTAACAAACCATACATCAATGGAAAGCTTATTAATTCAGCTTTCAGATTATGTATACATCTCAATTTCGAAAAATTTACCCTTATGACTGGTTTTGTGCTCCAGGGTCACAAATATATGAATTTGGTGCAGATGCTGATATTTATATGATGAAATCTGCTTCTTGTGATGTAAATCAGTGAGATCTTTATAACAGTACAGTGGATATTTACATAAAATGATCTAAATATCAGTCGTCGCTCTATATCTCCAGTAATAAGATGAGATTGAAATGATCCAAACATATAATGCAGTGCAATCCAGTGCTAAGAGGCCTATCTAGTGCATTTTGGGCCTGCTGTATATTACGAATCCGCTCACCCTTTGGGATCCAGCAGGTCCCGGACTTTCTCATTATAGATCTCCATGTAGGACACCTCCACCTTGAAGGAATGGGTCTGGTTCTGGTCTCTGGAGACCCTCTCGAACAGCGAGCAGCAGAGTCTGGGGATCAGGCCCGGCTGCTCTCCGTTGCCCATCATGGAGAAGGATTTCCCCGAGCCTGCCGGACAGCACAAGCATTCACGGGTCAGAAGAAGACGCTTACAGGTTTTAGACGCGTAACCTTCCTGTGACTGAAAACACAGACGCTTCCTGTTCATGCACGGAGAAATATATCAGATTCATATTTACACACAGACCATAAGACACACTGGACTCTTATTAATGGTAATCTGCTTTTTAATTGAATTCTGCATTCGGTTACCATTACAGGTGATTTTCAGTTGTGGTGCCTGGGCAATAAAATAATTAAATTAAATATATAAAATTAAACATAAAATAATTAAAAGTAATACATTAAAATATAAAAATAAATAATAAAAAATTAATTACATAAATTTAAATAATGATTAAAATAATAATTGAAAAGACGAATAAAGATACATTAAAAATATGCAACAGAACAGAACAAATATACATTTTGGTTTATTTTGTACTACTTAATATTTAAAAATACAAATAATTAAAGAATATAAATAAAAAATAACAATGGTTTTCCTGTTTTTCAGATCCTTAATGTATCTTTAAAGGGAAAAAAAAATGCAAATAAATAACAAAAAAACAGAAACAAAAGTTTCAGGTTTAATCTGATTATTTTATGATAACTAAAATTAGAAAAATTATCTTCATATACAAAAAATCAGTAAATAAAAATAAAAATTTGCACATTTTTTAATGTTTCAGATCTTTAATGTATCTTTATTTTTCTTTTATTTTTATATAGAGAAAAAATAAAATACAACACTTAGTTTAAACATTTAAGACAAAAAAACAGAAAAAAAAATCAGGTTTAATCTGGTTATGACGACTAAAATTTGAAAAAAAGATAAAATGTAAAATTTCTCTTTATATAATTCATAAATAAAAATGAATACACATTTTTCCTATGTTTAATGTATCTTTATTTTTCTTTTATTTTAAAAAAATTTTCATGCAAAGAAAAAAAATACAATTGATCTTTTTTCAACTCTTAGTTTAAACATTTAAGACTAAAAAATAAAAATCAGGTTAATCTGGTTTTATGATTTTACGGTAACTTTTTTTACTTGTCTAGGAAGAATTATCATTGAGAATAATTACAAAAAAACTCACAAGTAAAACATCTGGACAAAACACATTAATGAAAATTTGAGGGGACAAATGTGCATTAATTATCATAAGAAAGGCAAAAAAACGTTTTGTAACGTTTTGGATGTATTTTCTTCATGCACAATATAATTTCATTTCCTGCAGTGGAGCGTGGCCTGGCTGTGTTTTGGTGAGATTCGTGTTTGTTTGTTTGTACAGTGTTAACTCAATATGTTTGTGTGCTTGTTAACATCTTGCAGGCCCATTTAGAGGAAACACCGGCACTCTTATGACAATGAATGAGCATCTATTCAAACATGTCACGTCACATAAGAGCACATATATATAACTCTACCTGTTTGTCCATAGGCAAAAATGCAGGCGTTGTATCCTTGAAAGGCGTTTTCAAGTATTCCCTCCCCGAGGCACTTGAAGACGACCTCCTGACCTGCGGGACAAACACACAACCGTCACAATCACAGAGCGTTCACAAAGAAATCTCCACAATTTCCTTGACTTTCAATAGAAACACCTTCCACAAAAGCCGTCTGAATACAAAAATGGGACTTGCAAGTAAACTAGATATCCACCAGTGCTTTTTATTATTTATTTACTATTCATATGTGTTATATTTTGAGTTAGCTTTTATTTTTATATTTTCAGTTTTCATTTTGAGTCATTTTGCTATGTGCTTTCAGCATTTTTATTATTTTTGTAAAATTTCTTTAATTTTGTAAAACTTTAGTTTTTTATACATTTATTTTTATTTCAGTTTTAGTAATTTTAGCACTTTGACTTAAACTCATTTGATTTCATTTAGCAGGGTTATTAAAGTAACTAAAACTAAAACCATAAAACCATTTTCGTTAATTGAAATAAAAAACTTGAAATAAAATAAAATATTTTAATTCAACATTCAAGGCAACATTTCTCATTTTCATTTCGTTTAACTTGATGTACTAAAATAACCAAAACTAAAATTGAAATAAAAATGAATGAAAACTATAGAGACGTTAAAAAAATGAATAAAAATGTCAAAAACACAGTATTTTTTTATACTACATGAAAAACTTAAAATTGTTGCATTGGCAACTAACTAAAATAAAATAAGCTGAAGCTAAAGTACTAAAATTATTTAAAAAAAATAATAAAACTAAATAGAAGTAATGAATAAAAATAACAAAAGCACATAACAAAATCACTTAAAAACTGTTACTTGAAATAAAATAAACGTTAACTAAAATAAAATAAAATATAAATGTATAAAGGCAATAGTTGTAATTTTTATTTAAAAACCTGATGTAGTAAAATAACTCAAACTAAAATAAAAACTAATAAAAATATATAGACATTAAAAAACAAAAACTACTCAAATAAAAAAAACAATAAAATTACTAAAACTTTAACTAAAATTTTAATGAAAACTGAAAATATAAAAATAAAAACTAATTCAAAATATTAACAAAAACTACAATAGTATCTCAATGATAATAAAATAACCCTCTCAGTTAGTTGCCAAGTCAACATTTCTAATTATTGTTTAAATTTGTCATTTAATTTTTATTTCATAATTATATATTTATATATATATATAAATAAACAAAAATATTTGTAATAGCTTTAGTTAAGAATAAAAACACTGAGGAGAAGTGAATATTCCACTCTGTTTTCTGTATTATTATTGCTTTTCAAAGGAAATTCCAATTTAATTTCAATTGTGGTGAATCAGGCAGCTGTGTGAAGAGCTAAATAAAGCTGGACCTGCGGCGTTTTACACACGAATCTTCTGTTGACTGTCACAACTCATTAACCCTGTTTGAGCAACGAGTAAACACAATTACTTTCTCCATTCACTTCATTTATCACAGAAAATTCATAAAGCTGAACCTACTGATGCAGAAACGTACTCTGATGCGAAATATCATCGTCTCACTGGAAATGTTGAGCGCATCAAGACAAACTCTGTTAATATTTAAAACAGTTCATAAGTTAGTTTGAACTTTGAAGTTTTATATCCCATGCTACACGGTTGCTAGGGTGCTCTGAGTAGTTGCTAGGCAGATCAGGGTTACTACTGTTAACTAAAACTATTAAAAACATTTTTGTTAATTAAAATAAAAAAAGTAATAAAATAAAAAAATCAAGTAAAATGAAATAAAATAAAATATTAGATGAAAAATCTGAAATGTTGCCTTGGCAACTAACAGAAATAAATTTAAGTTGAAGCACTGAGGTTACTAACCGGAAATAAATAAAAAAACAGACCTCAAACTAAAAGTGAAATAAAAAACAATTAAAGTAATATAGTAATTTAGGAAACAGTAGTATTTAAAAAAACGAAAACTAATAAATATGACAAGAACAAAATAACTAAAAAATTAGTCCTCAAATAAAAAAAATCCACAAAGCATGCATATTCACATATTAATAAAAATATAAGCCACCTATCAACATACAAGACAAAAAAAAATTTAATATATATGCACATGTAAGTAAGGTACTGTATAAACTGCATTCATAAAATATTAAAATAAGTTACATAATCAAATTTTTGAAAAAATTTACAAATTAAATAACATTTAAAAAAAATTGTAAGGAAAATAGCTGTAAATTGGATGAATGAATTTAATATATATAAATACACAAAGCATCAAGTTAATTTGGTTTTATTAGCACAAAAATAAAACGTGAAAAAGTCAAACAGAAAAAATGTGGAATTTCCCAAAGCATCATCATTAACTACATAATGTTTTTAATGAGTTTCTACGCTTCTGTACAGGCTTGTATAAACCTTATAACTGCACATGATCCTTCCTAAAAGACTTTAATTACTGCTCTGTCTGAACACTTTCTATGCGTTAGACTGATGAAAGAGGACCAGCACAAACCGTCTGTGTAAGAACATGTTCACGAGTCAGCCGGACTACAAGAACAGCTTCAGTGTGGGACATTATAAAAATCACAAGAGCTGCTGAAATCACCAGCTACACTCTGATTGGTCGGAGCTAATCATGTGTTTCGGGTCGATATGATGACTTTTGAGGAAGAACTACTTTTTACATTTTTTATATTTTTAGCTTTCATTTGAATTGTAATTTACATTTTAGTAGTTTATGTGCGTTTTAATTTTTTTATAACTTTGTTTTAAAATATTTCTATTTAGCTTTAATTTATTTTTATTTCACTTTTAGTAATTTTGTTTACGTGCTTTTGTTATTTTTATTAGTTTTTAATATATATTTCTATTTAGCTTTAACTGATTTTTATTTCAGTTTTAGTAATTTTGTTATGTGCGTTTGTTATTTTTATTCGTTTTTTATACTTTTATTTAGATTTAATTTATTTTTACTTCCGTTTTAGTAATTTTATGTGCTTTTGTTATTTTCATTTTTCAAAATATTTATATTTAGCTTTAATTTATTTTTGTTTCAGTTTTAGTAATTTTGTTGTGTTTGTTATTTTTATTAGTTATTAAACGTATTTCTATTTAGCTTTAATTCATTTTTTATTTCAATTTTAGTTTTAGCAATTTTGTTGTGCTTTTGTTTTTTTCATTAGTTAAAAAAATATTTCTATTTAACTGTATTTTTATTTAAGTTTTAGTAGTTTTGTTATGTGTGTGTTTTTTTATTTTTTATATTTCTACTTAGCTTTAATTTATTTTTATTTCAGTTTTAGTAATTTAGTTTTGATCTTTTGTTATTTTTATTAGTTTTTTTGTATTTCTATTTAGCTTTAATTTATTTTTATTTCAGTTCTAGCAATATTAGTATGTCAGCTTCTTGTTAACTTATTTTATTTCAGTCAGTCAGTCAACAATTTTAAGTTTTTCACCTAATAATTATAATATTAATATTGTAAGAATAATTATTTCATGAGTATCAGAAAAGCATTTTTAAAGATCTAATAAGATTTAATCATAATTATAATAATGATCATTCTATACTGTATATATATAAATCTATTTTTTTTTTTCTTAGCTTTAATTTATTTTTATTTCAGTTCTAGCAATATTAGTATGTCAGCTTCTTGTTAACTTATTTTATTTCAGTCAGTCAGTCAACAATTTTAAGTTTTTCACCTAATAATTATAATATTAATATTGTAAGAATAATTATTTCATGAGTATCAGAAAAGCATTTTTAAAGACCTAATAAGATTTAATCATAATTATAATAATGATCATTCTATACTGTATATATATAAATCTATTTTTTTGTTTTTCAGCTTTAATTCAATTAACAAATTTTAATGAACAGATTTGTTTTTTTTACTTTTTTAAAAATTAAATCTAGGAATTGCTAAATATTTTTAATAGTTTTATTAAAATTAAAAAATAATGAATAGTTTTATATTTTAGCTTTTCAGTTTTCATTTTAATTTTAGTTCAAGTTTTAGTAATTTTGTTATGATATAAATATTTTTTATATAATTGATATCATTTCCAGTGCATCAGATGGTCAGTGAATGGTGTCTGAGACTTTAGACTAGCACGGTAAAGCAGTAAAACCAGTATCAAGCCTGAACTAGTCTGGAGCAGCACGGGAAATCTGGCAGATCTCGTCTCAGATCCCTCCCTCGGGAACGGCTCGTTTGTGTGTCCGTGTCATTTCCAGGGCTTTCCATATTACAATAGTGAATATAATCTGTAATTATCGCTCAGGTGTGACCACGTCCGGCGCAGTGAACGTGTTCAAGCCTGACTCACCGGCGTACTTCGGGATGTTGGACTCATCCATGGACCAGAAGCAGTGGTCGAAGGCAAACACCTGCAGACACAGAGACACATGCACACACACTCACTCACTCACTCACTCACTCACGCACGCACGCACTCACACACTTTCTGTCAGTTAGTTGCCAAGTCAACAATTTTACGTTTTTCACTTAATATTAATATTGTAAGAATCACTATTTTACGATTCTTTCAATTCCCAATGAATAAAATCGATTCCCATCCTCTCCTTTATGACTAAACATCCTGTTTCACTCAACTGAAGAAAAATGGGTTGCAAAATGCATTTCACGTATATTCATTCCTGAAGCTCAAACAGTAGAATATGGCACAAGCAATGCGAAGATCATGGGTTCGATTTCCAGGGAATGCATGAACTAATACTGTATGTCGCTTTGGATAAAAGCATCTGCCAAATGCATACATATTAATATATTTGTTTCTTGAAGACAGACTGAGATTAAATGCATCTCAGCTTTTCTCCTGAGGAAAAACCTCACACGTCTCCTTCAGAGATTTACAAGAGATCTCAACAATTTCTCAATCAAACCCAAGTCTCCTGAGCTGTAAAAGAGCAGCATGCGAGCGATGCGATGCTATGTGGTTCCTCCTGAGAGACATTCTTACGGCGCTTGTGTACAGCAACAGTCTTTGTGAGACGCAGTTAATTAGATACATAAATCTGGAGACGGAGGAATGAATTCCTGCTTTGGTGACCCGTGTTTCCAGAGCGACCGGCCGGCGGATCCGTACGGGACACAGGCCTCCCTCATCTCACATCCCAAACAACGGACAACTGTTAATGCATAAAAAAACGTTCACCCAGTTTTGCAATAAAATATCTAAAAGCTCTTAAAACAAGATGCACTTCTCTGAGAATCAGTGTTGCATAAGATATTAAGACTCAGATGTGTTTTACAGTCTAGTCTTGTTCCAAAATCAGCTAAATTATATATTCCATCCAGTGGATCAGAGATATAATGTCTCGTCTTCAACTTGAAAATATCAGGTACTCGTTAAGAGGAATATTTTAAGATCTGGCGCCCTTTCACTGGTTATTTTAATCATTCTGATGCCCTATTACTGACTGAATTTCTCTCTATTAAACACTAAATGGATGCCAAACCAGTGTTTGTTTTTTATTTTAAATTTAATGTATTTTTTTATTTTTAAATTAATTTATTGAATTCAATTTTTTTTCTTCCTTTTTTTTCTTCTTACCTTGTGCATATATTGGTAGTACACACGTAGTAATAATAATAATAATAATAATAATTTGCAATTAATTTAATTTAAAAAAAAATATTAATTAATTTTTTATTTTAATTTTTTTATTTCTTCTTACCTTGTGTGACTACTTTTACTACTTTTCAATTAGCTTATGGAAATTAATGGTCAGAATTAGATTTGCATTGAAAAACAAATAAAAAAAATAAAAAAATAAAATGCACGTATATCCAAGATTGCATGAAAACAAGATCAATTTATATATAAATTATTATTTTATTTATTAATTTTATTATTTTTTGATTTCTTCTTACCTCGTGTGTGCATACCTACTGGTATATTATTATTATTATTTTTCATTTTTAAATGTAATTTATTTTATTTCTTCTTACCTTGTGTGTTTGCATATATACTGGTTTATACATAGGTGAGCATTAATGTGTCTATGCATGCATAAAGTATATACACTACTTTTCAATTATCTTACAGAAATTAATATTCAGCATGGATGTAATCGAGGGACTTGCTGGTGAGTGTCAAGGGATGGATGAATTTGATTTGCACCGAAAAACTAATAAATCTAAGAATAAATTTAATATGAAAATATTATATATTCAAGATTGCATGAAAACAAGTCTTACTTTCTTATAACCTTTTAAGCTGATCTCATTTCCATTGTGATTGTGACGCAGACGGAGCTGTTTTGTGCACATCTGCGATGTGTTTTATGAGCGCATGAGTTTCTCACCGTCTCTAGAGATCACTGGGCAACACAGAGTCTCTCATCTGTGAAATCAGACTGACCCAAATGTGCTCTGATTAAGAGAAATAACGGTAAACCATGACAAAAAAAAGTTCATCAAATTAACCGACGATACACTTTTCCTCCTTCTTTTTTCAAGAATAATTCTGCAATTATTCATTAATTTAATTAAATAAACAAACTAATAATACAATTTTGCATAAGATATTAAGTTTGCGTGTTTTTTCCGCACATTGGTCAGCCTCGTTCAGTTTTAAATGTGCTTTAATAAACCTGAAACTTCATTTTGAAAATCTTTCACCTGATTTTTCACATTTGAGATGTATGTGTCTATGTATGATTAATCAGCTGATTGTTAATGCACTATTGTTGAAATGTAATGCAGAGTTTTTAAGGTTTTTTAGTCTCTTCTGCTCATCAAGGCTGCATTTATTTGATCAAAAATACAGTAAAATTGTGAAATATTACTATGATTTAAAACAGCTGTTTTCTATGTGAATATCTGTTAAAGTGTAATTTATTTCTGTGATGCGCAGCTGTATTTTCAGCATCATTACTCCAGTCTTCAGTGTCACATGATCTTCAGAAATCTTCTTCTGCTCAAGAAACATTTCTGATTATTATCAATAGTCGTGCTGCCCAGTATTTTTGTGGAAACCGTGATGCATTTTATTTTTCAGGATTCACAGATGAACAGAAAGTTCAAAAGAGCAGCATTTATGTGAAATAGAAATATTTTGTAACATTACAAATGTCTTTACTGTCACTTTTGATCAATTTAATGCATGCTTGATGAATAAAAGCATTATTCTTTTTTTATATTTGAACAGTAGTTTAGACCAATAATCATTCCTGTTTAGCCGATAAACAACATTGAGACAGATGAGAAACATCACTGACTTCTGTGACTAAAGTGCAATCTATAATCAATGTCATTTACACAGAGAGGCTTAGTGTTTGCATTAAAATGAATGCTGATGGCTCAACTGAAATATGCACGGCAGAAAGAGCCCGATTTAACAATATTCTGAGTAGTTAGTGAATAAAACGCAGGTGTTTGTGCTGAAATACTGCTGTAGAAATGCTTTCCAGTAATCAGTGAGGTTTCTGATCGGCTCACTGGCTAAATAAAGCATTAGTCTGCAGTGCAGTCTGTCTGCCGAACACAATGGCAGCGAGGAGACGCTGCAGAACAATGCAGCTTTGACTGCTGCACACTGGGCCTGTGTCTCGAAGCCTCACACACCGCAGCTCTGTGTCGTTCACGAGATCTTAGAGGCCTGACACATTCACACAGACGCTCATCCCCGTCTGACGATCTCGGACTGCATGTGGAAACACTTTCATGTGAAGGTTTGATCCATCAGGCTTTTATGGCTCATATAGTCTGATATAGTGAGAATCTAGAGCAAAAAACAGCTCAGTTTTATCTGGTTTATTATAGTTAACTAAAACTAAAACTGAAACTAATTAAAGCCATTAAAAAAAATTATAAATACATTATTAAATGAATATTTTATTTCAGAAAAAAATTTTTTTATATATATATATATATAAAATAAATTAATAATAATTAATAT